TATATATTTAAATTACACATTGGAAGGTTTCGAATAATTTAAAAGAGTGTGACGAATCTGTAAGGAATGTAATAAATCATATCTGGAAGAGACGAAGTGGTAACTATAATAACAAAGTATTGACACTTCATTATGTATATACCTAATGACTGTCATGTTGGTGTAGTAGTCATCATCGCGACTGATGATCATGTGCTTCCGTTTTCGAATCCCGAGTCGGGTCAAAACTGTAGTTATTGGATTGTTCTGTCAAGAAATTCACAGTAACAGTGGAGTCAGAAAATTGGCGGTGTTTCACCCCCATGTCTCGGAAAACACGTACAGCCGTTGGACCTGCGTCTGATCCCTCTCCGATCGTGTCGGATTGCTATCCCATCGGATTCAGAGTCGGGGAAGATAAAGATTGCACCGGTGCTTGTGCAAATGGGGACTGGCCTCCGTGACCGAATTCCACGGCGGCCAGTCCCCAGTTTGTAGGACATTATTATTCTCACGACTAATGTTAGTTTGTACTGGTAATGAAACTGTTTTGGTAGTGAAGTGGTTAGGCATTTGGCTGCGACATTGCGGACTGGTTTTGACTCCCTCGCGGACTAAGTAAGTGTTACTTGCCTAGCCTGCATTTAATTGTTCGGGTTTTTTGTTGTAGAATAAGAGTGACAAAAGAACACACAGTCTACCTGATGGTCAGTGGATGCTGTGGCCCTTAGACATCTACATCTATCCTCGGTTAATTATCAAAATGCAGATGCGTTGTCACCCCTGAGGACTAAGATAGAATGCCTCGTTTCCAGGAAATAGTATGTATTGGTATATATACTTATATACGAGCACTGAAAATTTCGGGAATCAAGGAAGTGACACAACATTACTATTTAAAAATGTATTTATTGCTTTTCGAAGTATTCTCCGCGAAATTCGACACATTTTCCATACGATGGAACCAATCATTGAAGCAACCATTCCATTCGGAAGTTGGGGTCTCCAAAATGGCCGTTTTGTATGCGTCCACAGCTTCTTCAGGCGATGAAAATCTCTGTCCACGCAATTTATTCTTTACTAGCTGTGCCCGCGGCGTAGCTCGCGTATACAGGTTTTACATAAAGAATTTGTCGTTTAGGTAAGAGAATATTAAACGATTTATTTCATTACTGTATCAATAAGTGGTAACAAAATAAATCATTATCATCAAAGTTATAAGTCGTTTATGATAGAGCTTCTGTGTAAACGACGTTAGAAGTAGGCTTAGCCGGGGTATACACAAAAAGGTTACGGGGGCTACTAACGCGGGAAAAAGCAACATAGAGTTGGCCATGTGCAAAACAGTCAGTACTGAGGTACACTCCTACAACGCGTAAAGTTTGACCTTGCGCTTTATTTACGGTCATCGCATACCACACACTCACTGTAACTGGGAACTGAACGCGCTTAAAACTGAAAGGAAAGTTACTTCTTAATAGAGGGTTTTTGGGCAGTGCTGCCAGATAAAAAAAACTCATTCAGCTCTAGGACAACACAAAAAGCGCTAGATTTCGCGCTAAATTAACTACAAACAAAGTTTGTGTTTTTTTATATAATCATAATAAAGAAAACAACATTAAGTTTTTTTTTCTGGAAATATTTTTTTGATGTATCAATACTTCGCAGGACATCGACTTATAATTATAGCAATTGCTGTCAAGAGTAGTTAGTACTGTACGAACAATAAAAATGTCATTAATTGTTTTAAAGTGCAATGTATTTCGCAACTTAGTTTCAGATGTCAGCATCTGATTGCGGTTGCTACACAGTTTCTTTGTGTTATAACTTCTAAGTAACTTTTAACTTAGCTGTGCTCTAAGCAACTGACTAAAACTGAATAAAGCAAAATAAATGCGTTGCCAAAACCATGAACGAAAACTTTAACAAAGGGGATTTCCCCGCTTATAGTCGTCGGTAAAAAAATCAAGTTGATCATTCTAAAGAGGAAGCCAGGAGATCCATAGCACAGGGTATCCTAGTTTGGACTCGTCTCCCATGCTCTTTGTTTTGTGGAAAAAATATGTTTGAAAAAGATAAACTGCAATGTACTATTTGTGGGAAAAAATAATAAAGGTCATTATTATTATATCGGTAATGTGGACTAACAGTGCTGCTATAAAAGAGTTAATAACCCGCTAGTCGCTAAAATATTGAAATGTGTGCTAAAAACACCAAAAAGCGCTGGATTAAGCGCTAGGTGCTAAAATTTCGAAATGCGCGCTATACATTCCAAAAAGTGCTAAATCTAGTTCCCAAAGCGCTAAAATGGCAGTTCTGATTTAGCGTATATTATAAATACAATATCACGACATTTCGTTGCAAAATTTTTATTTTTGGTCGGGTTCCCTTGTATGGCTTCGATGGATACAAATTTGTTCAGTAAGTCTCAATACGATTCACCGGCGGAGAATCTCAACACCGCAATTCAGAAAAGGTAGTAATTTGTACAACTCCATCTATTACGTCCTTTGTGTGAGAAAACATCCTTTTTTAATCTCTTTTTGTGTTTTAAGTATAAATATATTAATTATTATGGAACGTTTTTTTTTACACAGAAATCTTTTTATTAATATTTCTGAGATTTTATGGCGCCATTGAACAAATTCGAACCTACATTTCAAAATAATAATCATTACTTTCGATAGAATGAACCAATTTTAATTAAACAAAGATTAAATGTAACTCGAAGATACGCTTTATGATATTCTTAACGATTTCTTTGAAAATAAAAGATGTTTACGTTAGACGTGATGCGTTCATATAATAACAGACAAATAGACAGACAGACAATTCTAAAAATTATAAAATGTTCTTATTTAATTATTTTCAGTTCCCCATAATGATTTTAGCCACCAAAATATAATATATACCTACAATGTACAGAAACAGACAACATGTTATCATCATTTTTATTATATTTATATATTTAAAGAGAGATGGCGCTGCTAACATCATCAATTCTAAAAATAAAAGAGATTAATTGACGCGATTGATAAATTATATAAAACGTAAGAGAACTTATAAATCAGTGCCTGCACAGTAAGCAAAAAATAAAGTTTGACTCTCGCCAAAACCAATGCAATTGTTAATAGCTCTTTTAAAATTTGATTTACCACATAGAGTACTCGGCGGTAAAGAATAAATTGAGTTTGTCAACACGCAGTAGGGCAGCGAGTAATATAATAAAGATTAGCAGTAAATATGAAAACTCATCTACAGGAAAAAACCACATTTGCAATTGCATTTTCACAACACCACCATCTATCGAAGAAATGGGTTAACTATTGTGCTTCAGATTTAGTTAATAAGGTTAATATATTTTTGTATAATATATTTAATACGTTCTTTATTACTTTTGTTTACTGCGCTTTAGATATACATAATTATATCATTATTTTACATAATTTAACTATGATATGATATTAGTTTAAAATGCACTTGATGACTCAAACAAAGCCACCGTTGAGCAAATTCGTACCTATACTTCCCTACCCATACTTCAGAATATTTATCATAACTTTTGATGGAATGAACTGATTTTAATGAAATAAAGACTAAATGTAACCCGAAGATACACTTTATAATTTCCTTAACAATTCTTATGATATAAATTAGTACTTTATACGTGATACGTTAACAAACAAACAGACAGACAGACAGACAGACAGACAGAAAATTCTAAAAATGGTAGAAATGTATTTAATTACTTATTTTTAGTACCCCTCAATCACTTTTATTACAAAAATATAAAATGTACAGACATCTGCTATTTACAGTTTTATTATATGTATAGATTTTAGGGAAAGTATAGAAATCATTAGGGCTTAGGTCGGGGCTGTACGGCGGATGGTCTAATAATTCTATGTTTTCTTGCTCTAAAAACTCTTTTGTTCTGTGTGCGGTGTGAGAACTCGCATTGTCGTGATGGAGGATGATGCGGCGGTTGTAGTTCTCTTTACGGAGTTCAGAAACGACCTGTGGCGAACAAATGCTAGCATACCATTCTGCATTAACCGTTCTTTATCCCTCAAGAGGAATAGTCGTAACATGGCCGGTTTTGGAGACAAACGTGGCCACCATTTTTTTTGTAACACTCCGTGAACGAACAATTTTTGTTGTCTTTAACTCATTTTCGAACACCCAAACTCGTGACTGGTTTTTTGTTTCGGGTTCGTACGCGTATATCCAGGATTCGTCACCTGATTCGATGTTGTATAGAGCATTTGAGGATCCTGCGTGGAATCTTTCGAGAGTTCTGAAGCACCAAGTAACGCGAGCCGCTTTTTCTCTTCACAGAGAGGTATCCATCGGGAAAACAAGTTTTTTACATCTAATTGTTCATGCAAGATTATTTGTATTTGACTCATGCCAATGTCTAAAGTTGCCTGAATTTCGCGGTGTGTCACATGTCGATCTTCCTCAATCAGCTTACGTACAGCATCAACGTTTTGACGACCTTGACGGGGATCATCACTGACCTTGACACGTCCACACTGAAATTCAGCAAACCAGCGATAAATTGTGGTTTTGGATGGGGCTTCATCATCAAATGCAGATATCATCCGGTCAACTCACTGTTTTTGTGTTAAACCACTTTGAAAGTCATAATAAATCATCGCTCTTGAATTTTCTCGAGTCAATTCCATTTTCTCAACGACTAAACAAGTTTGACAAAACCTTGTGACAAGACCGAGAATCTTTTTTTAAATAAATAAATGGTATTCGATTTTTAATATGACAGGAACAGTGGAAATATTCCATTCCCGATACTTTTAGTGCATCCTATGTATATAAATGTAAAGGAGACAAGAGAGGTGTGTCAGGATCGTGGCAAATGTAAGTCCGTAGTCTCTGTCTAGCCCTCTGGGTGATAGGCGTGAATGTTTATGATTATGACTATGAAGTTAAAAAACAATGTCACCCAATACTGAAGAAACAGTGGCAATGAATGTTATATAAATTGTTTGCTATTGTTGCAGACCAATACACCCTGGATAGTGAGTATATCAAGCGATATCTGGGTGAGCTGACACCGATGCAGGAGTCTCGACTGCTGCAGCTGCGGAAGTGGATTGCAGATCTACAAAAAGGAAAAGTAAGGAACTTATAAGTAATAATATAGTAGCTGTACGTACTTGTTACGTAAAAAACTGCTCACCCTCGTTCTTTGCTCTGCTCGTTCCTTGGCTTTGCCAAAATGGAACGTGAGAATATAAAGCCTGAGTGCTATTATAGCAAAATATTTATTGTAGATAGTATTAACACCCCTCATAGATTGTACGACCCACATGCTAATAAAAATAAACATATGTGCAGTTCACACGCGGTAGAAGTGAAATCTTTAGAAAATATAATAGCGCCATCTAGTTCATTACATAGGTAAAGTCATTATATGTAACAAAAATTTATTGACGCTCAAGGTGACGCTCAAACTTAAAAAAAAATACGAACTTAAAACCAAACTATAGAAACTGCATGGAAATATCAAACGTCATAGTTTATTGTGCTCAAATAAATATTTAATATATGTATTTTTAAATAATAATAATAATGTAATTTCACATAGCTAGAAAACCCGACCTAGTTATGAGACCCATCCATAAGGAGAAAATTCAAATTATATAGTAATTTAGTAGTAGCCATGTGGTGCGACGTGTGCGAAGAGACTATGGGAACTACGCTCTCACATCTCGCTATATGAAGACAGTTGTCGAACACTTTATTTTTATACGGCTGACAAACAAGCTCACATTCTACTTTTTTCGTGGTAGAACTGTGCTGCAGCTATATTATAGTTATAGTACGAATGGGTCGGCTCGACCAGGGGAATCTTACAGAATACCAGCGCAAATAGCAGCTTAATGCTGCTGCGTTTGGTATGGTGAATGTTGAAAACCGCAGACCTTTTTACTGGATGCGGGGCATTCTATCTTAGCTCTCAAGGGTGATTACACATCTGCATTTTTAATTCTTAATAGAGTATAAATATAGATGTCTGTAGGCCACAGCATCCACTTACCATCAGGTGGAATGTGTGCTCGTTTGTCTCTTATCTATATAAATAAAATGACAGAGGTTTACAATTGTGCGCGCATTACGGAAAAGCTATTGGATAGATTTCAATTAGCTTTTCTAAGTTTTATTTCTTAGACACTTGGTCTAAAAAAATTATTGCGATATCTTAATTTGATATAAAGTTATTAAAGATTTAAGAAACAACGATTTTTATAAGCACTAGCTTATAAATAAGCACTACGTGTTCAGTGATGTGTGTAAGCAAAGCGAACACACGTTTTTTCCTTTTGAGGTACGGAACCCTAAAAACGCAAATTATTACAAATGACTTAATATTTTTCATTTTCATCCTTAATCTTTCTATTATGTATACCATTTCCTCGACAGCTGCAAGCAAAAAACAATTTATACCAGTATTTCTTTGTTGTGTTTGCAATAATCACAAACCGTGAGGCGGTATTTATTCCTTCTCTTACATTGCTTTTATTTCTGAACCACTCGAGCTCGAGCCCGTTTAACAACTATCTATGAAAAGAACAAATGAAACTATTGTTGTGCTGATGTAATATTTCATTTGCTAGATCAAACATTGTTTTCATAGTTATGTAGAAATAAATGTATCATAATACGCCGCATGCTCTTTTGCCTCTGTTCTATAAAAAAAAACATAGTCGTCAGTCGTCACGGGATGTTCGGCAGATTTAAAACATCACATTTGATGGTAGAATTTATAATTAATGAAAACCAATTAAGAAATATGGAGTAAAATAAATAAAAATAGGAAACTAATCGAATAGAAAGGCACATGTAGTACACAAATCACACAGAGAAGCAACGTAGTGTATAGCATACGCGCACGCATATATTAGGGAGTAGAGAGCGGCGGCGTAGGGGGAGCATGACGGCATAAGAGAACGACATGCGGCTTGCCGTCACGGCATACGTGTCGGTTTTACTGACAAGTCGCGCCAATAGATGTTTCACATAACATTCACTTACCATCAGGTGGACTATGTGCTCCTTTCTTACCCTTAAAAGTTACAGCCTATATACGTGCAACTCGTAGGCACAGGTCTTTTTGAGAGCGTTTTAGGCTAAGAAAATGTCCACTGCGCGGCCCCAATGCGTGTGTGAAGTCCGTCAACATATCTTCGAAATATTTCTTTTAATTTCTCAGACATGTTTTCTTCATGTGTTTCTTCACAATGTTTTCTTTCACCGCCGAGCACGTGGTCAATATCAAAATTACAATATCAATTGTAGAGGCAGTGCAAGAATATTACTACCCCATATCGCCTCGTGGGGTGTCTGAAGTTGCGACAGAGAGAAACAAACCAGGAGATGGGCAAGAGCGTATTCCTATAACAACTCAGAATTAAAAAAAAACTGCGGTTGACAACCTGTCTGCGTAGCAACCATTTCAAAATCTTATATAAGGCATTTTATGCTGGAAGCCTATGTTCTGCAGTGGACTTTTATAGGGTGTAATGGATGGATGGAAGTATGGAAGGGATCGAACACGAGTTGCTCGCGTACTGTGAAATTTACAGCGTACAGGGGCGCCAACTTCCTGACTCCGGGTCGCTACTGAGAATTTCTTTGCGGAAAACCCAATAGCTAATTTTGACCCAACCCAGTATTCGAACCTGGGAGCTTATGATCAGCATCGCGTTTACGGCCACTAAAGCAACGAGGTAGACACCACGGAAGAAAAACGTGGTTTTTTTTTTAATTTATTTTCTTCCAACTATACCCAAGTTCGTATACGTAACAAAAGAGTTTATATCTGAACGGATGCTAAGTTTCATAGCATTTCCAAAAACGTCATATATTACTATATATCCTATCATAATCATCTTCATCATCATCAAGTAAAATTTTTTTTTATTTTTTAATTCAACACTCAAGAAAATATTTTGAAGCTTGGCACCCGTATGTATTCAAGGGGTCCTTATTATGTAGGTATGCAAAAAGGTCAAATATATAGTTTTGGGGGCTCGAAATGGTTCGTGTAAATATAATTAGCCGGTAGTTCGTCCTTTTCTTTTTTTTTCTTTTCTGAACTTCAACACTGCCGTGTGTATAAATAGTGGAAAAGTTCGATAAAAAATATCGAGCAAATACTCGTCTTCACTTAGGTATATCCTTTTGTCTCTGTGTACATTTTTTACCTTTTACTGGTAACTTAAAAATATCTCTGGATAGTTCTTTGAAGGCACCACGTTTAAATAGGTACTCTAAACATCGACAATGACTTCTTACTTTTCTTTATGTAGTTAAATAATCAGTCGTCTCATAAAACTTTTTTTTATGGAAGGGGAGGCAAACGAGCATGCGACTCACTTGATGGTAAGTGATTACCGTCGGCCATGAACAATGGCAACACAACCTTTTAAAAGGAGTAAGCTCTTTTCTAGAAGGTCCCAAAGTCCTATCAGTCCAGAAAAACCGCTGGCGAAAAAAATACTTCTTTTCCTTCTACGAGTACTTCTCTAGCTCATAAAAGTCCACTACTGAACGTGGACCTCTTTTTCCCGTTCCGCTTCCGCTCCCGCTTCCGTCCCCGCTTCCGTCTTTAGTATAGAATAGAATATAATAATTTTTTTATTCAATATAGATTACAAGTAATTCTCATTGAAAGTCATTTTTCACTTTCATCACTGGCTCGGATAACATACTTGTCCTAGGAAGAACCAACTGGAAACCCAGCGAGACTTTTTTCAAAGTAAATTATACAATGAGGAAGGTTGTACAAACTATTTATAAAACTTTGACTTAAGCTGCCGGTCTTTGATATTCACATGGCTTGTTTGAGAAAATCGTGAACGGTTTTTTCTAGACCTTCCCATGGTTGCCTACAACGACACAAAAAGGGACGAAATTATGTAATATTTTCTTTAACGACGTCATCACATAACATACGTTTTATTCTAATTTATTTTATAAAGATTGGCAACTGTTTTTGGCAAGTCACATTTCAACCTTAAAGTATTTTATTATGCTCACCAAAATAAAGACAGTATTTCGTAATGAAAATTAACGTACTATAAAATTAACATATAAGGATAATACATTTTTGTAAGGACAACATTGTTTTCCATTCGATTATAATGTGGGTGTCTTCAAGGTAAGAGTGAATAATGTTTTGTTAAGCTAATTCAGTGCGTTATACTATCTTTGGTTGCATCACCACCTTCCATCAGGTGGGATAGTAGTCAAGCATTTACTTATGATAGGTAATAAAAAAACTATGTTACAAAAGTGGACAAATAAATATAAAGTTATAACAATTAAATAACATGTAACACTGGGTAAATATAAAATACGAAATTGTAGGCTAGATGTTTTTTATAGAATAAGGGTGACAAACGAGCATACAGTCCATCTAATGGTAAGTGGATGCTGTGGCCCATAGACATCTACATTAATTTATCCTCGATTAAGAATCAAAATGCAGATGCGTTTTCACCCCGAGGACTAAGATGGTATGCCTCGTTTCCAGTAAAAAGGGTTTCCGTTTCGTTACACTTAACATACGAAACACAACACCATTAAGGTGCTATTTTACACTGGTATTCTGTAAGAGCGTGGGCCTTCCCCGGTCGAGTCGAACCATTCGTGCTACAACTATAATATAGGTACAGCGTTGCTCTACCACGTTACAAATACACATTATAGATAAAGAATCAAGCCACAGCATCCACTTACCATCAGGTGGACTGTATGCTCGTTTATCACGATTTTTCTATGAAAATGCATGTATGCAATTCACACACTATAGAATCTCAACCTTGAAATGAAATGAAATCTGTACAAATAAATATGAAATGTCTGTTTGTAATATCAAACTAACAGATTTTTACTAAATGCATATGAATGTACGGTACGGTACATATAAAAAAAAACAAATTTTAAAATTTTTGTCTATCTGTCTGTCTGTCTGTTTGTTCCGGCTAATCTCCTAAATGGCTGGATCGATTTTAACGCAATTTTTACTGTCAGATAGCTGATGTTATGAGGCGTAACGTAGGCTACTTTTATTTTAGCAAAATAATTAGGATTCCGCGCAATAAATGACTCATGAAGTACAATCTTAACGCAGGCGAAGTCACGGGGAACAGCTAGTATAAAATAATAACAATAATTCACTGCAAATTATTTATTTAATATGATGATCATTTTCAACAATAAGTGCGGCTCAAATGTAAGATAAAAGTTTTATTTTATAGCAAATAAATATTACAATCCTTATTTTTAGACTTAATTTTAGTATAATTAATCAAAAGAATATGTTGTTTCTTGTCAAATTGCTTTGTAATAGCGCCATCTACTAAATTTTATATGTAACATCATTTTATCAATCAAAAATTGATTGACTCTCAAGGTGGTACGTAAAATAGACGCCAGATGGCCTGAAGATATGAAATCGTGGTATATTAAAATAATTTAATTCAATATGGTTAATTTTATTTATTTCATAAAGGAGAATGAGATTTTTGGGCCTGAAGTTAATTAATTGGCATAACTTTAAAAAATCGGCCATATTTTTCTAAAGTAAAATACAAAAAATTTGCTCTTTTTACAATTGTGTAATACTGTAATAACAGTGAAAAATCATCTGTTACAGTGTAGGTAATAGATAATCTCACTTTTACTTACTCTACAACAACTCAGCTTCTAGATTAACAAATCTTGCCAGATTTTCAGGTATGAATTTTATATATACGCTTTCAAATGATCCTACATTCATCTTGGTAACACTTGGGCCCAAGAATGTATTGTGACGTCTCCTTCTCCTTTGTTAATTTGTTAAATAAAATAAAAAATATTATTATGTTAAAAACAAACAATAAAAATACAGCAGTCGAATGGTAGATTCGAACCTACAACCTTTTGAGTTCGCGGTCTTAACTGTATATTCTATCTCAGTCTCGCAGGCTAAATCCTATAGATGGATATGTTTGTATCTTTTAAGTGTCGCTTTTTCGTTTCATCGCGTTTCATATCACAACGATTCAAAAGAAATTTTCTCTTTAAAACTTTTACATTTACTGTTTATCTCAGTTCTTGAATCAATAAAGTTAGAGATCGTGGCTCGGATTTACGGAAACGAAGGACGAGAAAGCCTGCCGGGCTCCGATACGTACGTCCCTGTGCCGGCTCATTGTATTTAATAATCCAATTATGTTCCCTCCCCTGAAATACGAGTTATTTTTAGGTCTAAGCTGTTTTATAACGTTATCGAGTCAAATTACCCCGACTTGACTCAAACTTAATGATATTGTTTTAAATGGGCGACAACGTGCTTAATTTTATTTTTATTGATTCGTAACAAACGAGCTTATTGTTCGCTTGATAGAAGAGGCTACTACGACCTATAGTTTTTTTTATAATTAACTTTAAACAGATAAGGTTGCTGATGCTTTGTCACTCCTGAGGATTTACAAATTACGATTACACTGCTGCTCTATGTGACAGGTTGCACAGAAGAGCTTACTTACTTATCTTCACGCACAATCCCTGATGGGGTAGCCAGAAAGAACAAATCGCCAAGTGTCACGATTCTTACATACCTCTTTCGTTTCTTTCAGATTCATTATCTTCTTCATACATGCACGTCTAGGTATCCGAGTACTCTTGACCCTCCCCTCTTCGAGCAATTTGCTCACATGGTCTTCGAAAGTTAGTCTCGGTCTACGTCGACACCTTTTAATATTTACTTTCGCGCTATATATTTTCTTCACCATTCGGTCTTCACTCATTCGCTCAACGTGCCCAAACCATCGAAGCACGCCCTTATCAATTTTTGTGATAAGGTCATCTTTCAAACCTTGCCAATATGGCAATATGGCAATATGCACAGAAGAAAGTTTTGACAAAAAAAGTTCTTGTTTTGTATAATATACTGGTCAGTTATAATTTATTTAAGAAAAAGTTCTTGTATCGTGTGACTATCGTCATCTTTTCGTTCGTATTAATCAGCTAAAAAGGATACAGTTTCTTTCGCCGTATATACACTATAGTAGTGTAATAAGAAGTGTTTTTGTGGTGGTGCTAAGTCCCTTGAAACGATTTAGAAATTAAATCATTAATCTCAGAACTTTTTTATTTTCACGAAACTTTCTGAGAGACGCACCCACCAGAGTCGTACCAACCCAGATAGATTCTAAGGCGTAAAATACCTTACCGTTACAGCTTCTTAAAGTTTACTGCGGACTCCCCCATAGATTGCCTCATAGATAAGGTATTTGCCATAGTTGCCACGCTTGGCAAGCAGGTCAGCAACCGCAGTTTTTTACTTTATATTTCCGTGTATATAAAAATATTAACCCCCAGTAAATTGGTGATGTTATCCTATCTTTCATTAGCTGGTAGTTCTCCTTTGTTGCCTAGGAGAGTTTGTCTTACTACTATCCGACCTCATGGTGGGATAGTTGAAAAAAGTGACCAGGTGTACACAGAGTATGGTAGCTACCTTCTGAGTAGCTACCACTCTGTGACCTATTTTTACCGCCAGCAGTGTGCGTGCACTGGGTTGCGGTCTGAAGATATAGAGTCAGTAATATTACAGGCAGATTCTAAGAGGTGATTCACTTATTGTCATACGTGTTTGAAGTAAGTTGTAGGTGTTCATGGGTATAAGTGTAAGTGAGAGTCTGCGCCTGATCGCGGTCACGTGCCTATGTGTGAATATGTCGTCTTCAAATCGAGTAAAATATGTAAGCTGTAGTAAAGTTATCTGTGAAATGTTAGCATTTATCCAAAATAAATTGGATATTATGGATGAAGAGAGCCTCATCCGTATATGTGAAAGTGCCTTTAGTGTCGAAGATATTGAAGTAGCAAAATTGCTACTTTTTGAATGGCTACAGAAAACCATTAAAACCAGAAAACGTAAGGGTAAAACTCAGCGCAATCTGGATGATATTATCACTTTGTTTAAAGCAAGTGACCCCGAAAAAATACAAGTTTTTGTGGCGAAAGATTTAGAGAAATTACAGTCAGTGACATTTGATCATGTAGATGTTACCGCGTTGCTCAAGAAAATGGTACTGGTACAAGAAACTTTATATACGTGTTAAAGCCATGCTGCAGCTATATTAGTAGTATAGTTATAGCACGAACGGTTCGGCTCGACTGGGGAAGGACCACGCTCTCACAGAATACCAGCGTAAAATAGCAGCCTAACACTGCTGTGTTTCTAATGGCGAGTGTAGAGAACCGAGGACCCTTTTCACTGGAACTTTTGACCTTGGTAGAACAACGCTGCAACTACATTATAATTGTAGCACGAATGACCTGGGATGGACCACGTTCTTACAGAATACCATCGTAAAATAGCACCTTTATGCTATTGTGTTTCGTATGTTAAGTGTAAAGAACCGGAGACCCTTTTTACTGGAAAAGAGGCATTCCATCTTAGTCCTCATTGGTGACGCACCTGCATTTTGATTCTTTATTGAGGATAGATGTAGATGTCTATGGGCCACAGCAACCACTTACCATCAGGTGGTTTGTGTGCGCGTTTGTCACTCTATCCTATAAAAAGAACCTATGGGAAAGCCTATGATCAGCAGAAGACTTATAATGTGTGAGGATATAGTCTCGTGGGTGTCGTAAGAGGCGAAAGAGTAAACTCAAGTGGTGGGCAGCAGCATTTTCCTGATAACTCTCAAAATCATAATAAACAACATTTTTTAATCTCCTTGTGAAGCAATCTATAGAGGAGGTTTGTGTTCAGCTGTGGACTTTTATATGCCCTATTGGATAATGTATGCATACATACAGTTCAAACGACTAAATATAAAAAAAAATCATAGTTAATTGCCATAGAATTATTTTTTTATAGGATAGGATGACAAACGAGCACTCAGTCCACTTGATGGTAAGTGGTTGCTGTGGCCCATAGACATCTACATTTATCCTCGTTTACGAATCAAAATGGACAAAATGGACAAGACGGCTCCGTGGCGCAGTGGCTTAGCAATGAGTTGCTGCGCTGGGGGCCGCGGGTACGAATTCCGCACGGAACAAGTATTTATATGGCCTACAAATAATTGTTCCGGGTCTGGATGTTTGTCCTTGTGCAATTTGTGTTTGTAAACTGCCTCCACGATACATGAGAAAATCCTAGTGTGGGGGGTTACGTTTTTTTTTGAAAAAAAAAAATGCAGATGCGTTGTCACCCGTGAGGACTAAGATGGAATGCCTTGTTTCCAGTAAAAAGGGTCTCCGGTTCACTACACTCACCATACGAAACACAGCAGTGTTAAGCTGCTATTTTACGCTGGTATTCTGTGAGAGCGTGGTCCTTCCCCAGTCGTGCCGACCCATTCGTGCTACAACTATACTACTAATATAGCTGCAGCATGGCTTTACCACGTATAAAATGAATTGTTGTACATGCTTGTAACCCCTTATTTACGTATTGGCATCAGGTACCTAGCGACAAAACCTTGCTGCGTTTCCTCCGCGCGCGTGACTTCAACGTGGAGAAGGCGAGGGAGATGCTCTCACAGTCTCTGCTGTGGCGCAAGAAGCACCAGGTGGACCGCTTGCTATCCGAGTACGAAACGCCCGAGGTTGTGAAGCAGTACTTCCCTGGTGGCTGGCATCATCACGATAAGGGTAAAGTCAGAAGCAATATTTATTTAAGTTTATAATTTGAATACACCCTTCTCATGCGAAAGTTGAATATCATTTTTTTTTTATAGAATAAGGGTTAGGTAGAAGGTAGGTAAGTAGTAAGATAAGTAGGTTAGACAGGGTTGGGGCAAACGAGCACACAGTCCACTTGATGGTAAGTGGATGCTGTAGACCAATAGACATCTACATCTATACAAATAAATAAAATTGAAGTGTCTGTTTGTAATGTCAAAATTACAGCGTTTTACTAAATGCATATGAAAGTATATACGGTACTTATAACAAAAACACAATTTTTAAAATTTTTGTCTGTCTGTCTGTATGTTCCGGCTAATCTCCGAAACGGCTGGACCGATTTTGACGAGACTTTCACTGGCAGATAGCTGATGTTATAAGGAGTAACTAAGGCTACTTTTAATTTAGAAAAATAATTAGGGTTCCGCGCAACATAATTAAAACCCTAAATTACACGCGGGCGAAGTCGCGGTGAACAGCTAGTGATAAATATTAAAAGAAATATTTTTTTGATTTTAACTTCTATGCGGTTGATTCATACTGCAGCATATTAGGGTTGTGGTACGCATGGGTCGGCTCGAACGGGGAACGACCACGCTCTCGCGGAATGATAATACTGCTGTGTTTTATATGGTGAGTGTAGACAACCGGAGACCCTTTTTACTGAAAGTGAGACTTTCCATCTTAGTCCTCAGGCGTGACAACGCATCTATATTTTGATTTTAAAATGAAGACAGATGTAGGTGTCTATAGGCCACAGCATCCACTCACCATCAGGTGGACTGTGTGCTCGTTTGTTACCCTTATATTATAAAAAAGCCTGCAGTCAACTACAAACAAGGAAGGCTGAAACTGATGCGTTGCCAATTCTGACGACTAAGAAACAATGCCTCTAACGACAAGAATTAAACGAAAAGAATTAACGATAAGACAAAAAATTTAAAAATTGTGTTTTTGTTATAAGTACCGTATATACTTTCATAGGTATTTAGTAAGAAGCTGTTATTTCGACATTACAAACAGACACTTCAATTTATTTTATTTGTATAGATGATAATGGAACTTACATAATTAGTTGAGATCGCATATCGAATCCACATGTATTTCTTGCCAACAGACGGTCGTCCGCTGTACGTCCTGCGACTGGGTCAGATGGACGTCAAGGGCTTGCTTAAGTCGATTGGAGAGGATGGACTCTTAAAGTTGGTAAGTGTAATTTGTAAAGCGGCATTTTTTTATTAGACTAAGGACAGATCGTTCCTACCTGAATTTAAAAATAAAATTTTCCACTGTGAACAGTTAAATGGCGTTTATTGTTAATACTGTTCTGTAATAATTACAATTACAATTATTGTATAAAGGCACAATGTAGCTTTATATTTATATTGTATACTAGCGAGTCGCCCTGGCTTTGCCTGGGTGGAATCTATTAATCTGGCGTTATTTAGATTTAAGCTTTGATTATATACAAGGGATTTAAAATAAGACACACCAAAAAATTTATAAAACACTTATTTTATAAATTGGCGATATATTGAAAATGGGCCAGATTAGGAGTACACTTAATCGACGAGCGTGTATGCGTAGATTTATGGATGGAGAGGTGTGTCAGGATCGCGCCAAATAGAAGTCCGTAGTCTCTGCCTACTGCTCTGAGTGACAGGCGTGTGAGTGCGTGCGTGCGTGCGTGCGTGCGTGCGTGCGTGCGTGCGTGTGTGTGTTAAAAAAATCTCAAGGTATTCCGAATAAAATGTAGCAAAAGAAATGTAGTAGTAAAATGTGTAAATTAGATCACTCCTAGCATTACTCTATCTGTTCGTAAACTTTTACTACAATCGGTTCAGCAATTCCGAAAATTAGCCCGGACAGACAGACACACAGACAATTTAAAAATAAAGGATTATTCATGTCATAATGTAAATAATTACTATACAAAAGAGTTCGATAAAAGACAATTTTTTTTATTATTTCTTAAAAAAACGTTACCCCCACACTAGGATTTTCTCCTGTTAGTAGTTAGTTTACAAACACAAATTGCACAAGGACAAACATCCAGACCCGGAACAATTATTTGTAGGCCATACAAATACATGTACCGCGCGGGATTCCAACCCGCAGAGCCGTCTTACATAGAGAATAAGCATAAAATGATTGCTTATAAATACTCTAAGGTTATTATCAACTTTATTTTTATATAAAGATGTATATTATCTATTTTTTTGTCTTATATGTATATTATATATTTTTACTTAACAGTAAATTTCAAGTGTAATTGAATATATCGTTGTGAAATCGCTTACGTTATACAGGTTTTGTGTTGTAAAATTTAAGTTGGCAAAGTTCCGCCCATTGCTCGCTTGCCTCACATTGAAACTATGCTTTGTGGTTTATACCCTTTAATAAAATTTTATGTTCGTTCATAACGAGAAATGTGAATTTCTGTGCTAATTAAAACAACTTTGTTTTCCTAAATTAAGACTTATTTCAAATTGGCAACCAGATGCTTTTATACTGAAAATATTTTCAACTAGCTTTTACCCGCGGCTTCACTCGCGTGAGCTTGAATTTAGGAACATCATTAAATTCTGTCCCGTGCCAAACTTAGGAAAATTCGATCACATTTAGAGTCATCTCGGTGTCTGTGTCTCTATGTCTGTCAAAGATTTTTTTGAATTCTAAAAGACTAAGTATTAGACGTAGATAATTGGTATCTAACATCCTACAGGAACACGTGAATATATATATGTCTAGAAACATCTACTATTTTTATATCGGGCGTATTTTCCGATGTATCCATAAGAAAATAGTAAATAGTCTTGGAATCAAAATTTATTATTATTGTTTACATTTAACTCTTTTAATTTATTCATAATTAAAGTTAATTTAGTTTTAACAAAATAATATAACGTTTATTTGAGATATTTTATTGATATCATTGGTCCTATTTAATATTGATTGGCACCATAAAATAGATGTAGATATTTTTTTTTTACTTCGAGTAGACCTCAAAATTTCCTAAATATATAAAAATATATTTTTTTATAAATATATAAAAATATATTTCCTAAATATATAGAAATTTTATATATAAATATATAAAATTTTCTAAATATATATTCTATAATAATGAATACTACACATAGATTAAAACCAATGTCACGGGTTTTTTTACGCATCTTGGATGAAAGTTCCGGGTAAAAGAACATATTGTTGATGTGAAGCACCAACGCTCCGGGAAGTCTAAAGTATATCAACATGTTTAGTATCGTTCCAACCATTATATCGGATCTGATAGACAACAAATCCTTGCAATAGAGCACCAATTCCTAACAATGATGATTCGCGATGCTATTGAAATTCAAAATATCCTAATTTTAATATGGGAAATGGGCTGAGTGCTACCATCTGCTAAGGACCCCATAATTAATAAAATTAAATTCAAATCCAAGCATACTACTGCATTTATTCTACTCTATTCTATTCTGTTATAACTATGACATCAGGTCGTCAAACACCTCAGTTCTTCCGTGACCATGGGTGCTATAAAGTGCCCAAAACATCGGGAATTAAAAAGTTAAAATTAAACGCGAAGTCCTTAAAATTATTCCAACTAAAGAGAATCATATCGTAAGAGGCGGCATAGAAAAACAGAAAGGAGATGGGCAGCATCATATTCCTGACAACAGATCAAAATAATAATAGCTGCGGTTGCCAACCCGCCTACCGCAACCACAACTATAGCAAATATTCAGCTACTTGACAATTTATGGGGGAGGCCTATGTTCATTTCAGTGGACTTTTGATAGGCTGACTATAATGAGTTCTACTCATTCTTGCAACCCTTAATATTAATGTTAGAGTGAAAACAAAAAAGGAACATACCCGAAAATACAAATGTAATAAAAATTGCGTATATTGCTCCATAACAAGTAAAAAAGTAGCAGCTTACATACTCGTACATGTTACTACTGGGCACAGGCCGCAGAGTTTTTGGCCAAAAAAGTGTTCGCTGCGCTGATTCCAACGCGGGATCAATGTAATGTAAATGATTCAATTATTTACATCGTTTATTCTGTAGCATTGTATTATTTCATTTTATCAGTGACTTGCCATTTTAGTTTATTTAGAAGTAATTAGATGGTGCTATTATTGGATGAACTAATGAAAGCCAAAACTATACTATCTAGTAATATCGGCGATAGAAGCGAACATTTATTTATTATATCAATAAGGCATAAAGTGATGTCAATTCTGTTAAAAGTTCCGTTTCTGTTAAAGAATACGCTATCAGCGCCGCTAGCGGTGAAAAACGATTTAATGATATCATCATATTATGACCATATCATGAAATAGCAACGTTATGTTTAGTTATTAATGTCTTCAAACGATTTCTATTCATTGATTTGGTCAAACTATATCATGACATGGTCAACAAAGAGTGTTAAATATCATGAAATGTCCACACCATTTCACGAAATGATAGAATACTTTATGATATATGATCAATTCTATATAAAACTATAATAAAACTAAAATGATAATGAAAATTTTGCAACAAATGCAGACACACCAGTTTTAATCACTTTACATATATATTAGTAATTCAAATATAAACCTTATCAATTTTCATATTTTTGATAGACTCACTATTATCTATTGAAATTATTACACTTTTAAAATAAAATAACAAAAATACTAAAAAAACTAAACGTTAGAATTTTTTAATAATTTTAAATATCTAATCATTTAATCATATAAATGTAAGTTATTTATATTATTTAACTTATTAGTAACTGAAGGCAAAATATACTACTTTATCCATTTGATGATGATTGGCGCTGTTTTGATAACTAAAGTGGTGTAGTTTCAAATTATTTTACCAAGGTTATAACTATATTTTAAATTTTATTTATAAATATGGTATTTATTTGGAAAACACCCGTCATCCTATAGATATAATAGAAAATTAACATCTAAAGGAAATAAAATACTTAACCTTCTTTTTTTGAAGTTCCGTAATCGGATAAAAAGTAGACTATAAGTTGCCCGGGGGTTACTGACTACATACATACAAAATTTCATGTAAATCGGTTCAGTAGTTTTTGCGTGAATCCGGAATACACAGACAGACAGACAGACAGACAGAAAGACAGACAGACAGACAAAATTCGAAAAACCACTAATTTGGCTTCAGAACTCTTTATTTAGTCCCCTAGACTTGTATTTTCAAGAATATATTAGGATTATATACCGACACGACTTTTCTACAGATTTATTATATGTATAGATTAGCTATTATTCCATTGACGTATATGTTTCTTAATACGAGTTTTTTTTTATAAAATAAAGGTGACAAACGAGTATACAGGACTAAGATGTAATGCCTCGTTTCCTGTTCCTTAGAAAAAGAGTCTCCGGTTCTCAAAACTCACCATACGAAACAGAACACCATTGAGTTGCTATTTCACGCTGATATTCTGCGTGAGCGTGATCCTTCCCCGGTCGAGCCAACCCATTAGTGCTACAACTATACTACTAATATAGCTGCAGAATGGCTCTACCACGTATAAAACATAACTTTCTTCGGTCTTTCCAACCATCCGGTTATACGGACCGAATCTTGGGAGGAGGACGCGGTACTTGCTTAGGATCCTTCCCGCGTGCTCCTTCTTATCTCTCTACAATGTCTCCATTCTAGTACCTTTTTTCTAAAGTTTTCACCTAAGGGGCCGGTTCTTACAAATACGCCGTCTGGCGTCCGTGCAGGTGACATACACAGCACCATTAAGCTGCTGTTTTGCGCTGGTATCCTGTGAGAAAGTAGTCCCTTCCCGGTTCGAGCGCATCCATGATATAGCTGCAGCATGGCTCTTACACGTAGAAAAAGTTCTACTATTGTCTACCGACATCAAAAAAAAGCCGCCAGTACTCAATTCGACTGTATATTTCTTTATGTGTGTTACCTCATAACTTTGTTCTACGTGAACCGATTACGATGATTCTTTTTTTTGAAAGCTGGTGATTCTTATGTGGTCCCATATAAATTCGATCAAGGTCTGACCAATAGTTTTGAGTTATTCTTAATAATTTATATTGAAGTCGACTGTACAAAATTTTTAATTTTAATGAACACCTTTTTTTGGTTTTTAATTAATGTGAAATTATTTTACGAATTATTTTTCTTTATCTACATAGTGTGACAGTATACTATACTTACGGTATCTCCTCATGTTTTAATTTTATTTAATACTGAATATCATCCCGATATAAATAATAATAAAATTCTAAAAAGTTTTATATTCTACTTACCTATTATACATTTTGTTATATACAGTAGCTGTTCCCCGCGACTTCGCCGCCCGCGTAGTATTTACTACGCTTTCATAGGTTTTAATTTTTTGCGCGGAACCGTAAATCTTTTTCTAAAATAAAATCCTATAGTACCCTAAGTTACTCCTTAAACATCAGCTATCTGCCAGTGAAAGTCTCCCGTCAAAATCGATCCAAAATCATCGAACAAAAATTTTAAAATTGTTATTTTGTTATCAGTACCATATATATCTACTTTCAAATGCATTTACTAAAAAGCAGTTATTTTAACATCACAAACAGACACTTCAATTTTATTTCTTTGTATATACATATTTTTTTAGTACATGTATTTGATGCATCGCTAGACAAAGCGGTTTCATAATTTGAAAGCAGAAATAGGTTTTATACGTGGTGGAGCCATGCTGCAGCTATGTTATGGTTGTAGCACGAATGGGTCGGCTCGATCGGGGACGGACCACGCTCTCACAGAATACCAGCGTAAAATAGCAGCTTCACGCTGCTGTGTTTCATATGGTGAGTGTAGAGAACCGGAGACCCTTTTTACTGGAAACGAGGCATTCCATCTTAGTCCTCACGGGGTGACAACGTATCTGCATTTTGATTCGTAATCGAAGATAGATGTAGATGCCTATGTGCCACAGCAAACACTTACCGTCAGGTGAACTGTGTGCTCGTTAGTCACCCTTATCCTATAAAAAAAAAGGTTTTTCATCATCATTTTATTTTGTTTAGTTTATTATTTTCATACTTCTGCTACATGAAATAAAAAGGTGACAAGCACATTAACTTATTCTATACCATTCTAGACACTTCACGTGTGTGAAGAGGGCTTAAAACTCCTGGAGGAAGCGACCAGGTCATCCGAACACGCAGTGCAGGCTTGGAGCTTGCTTGTAGACCTGGACGGACTCAACATGCGACACCTCTGGCGTCCCGGAGTCAGGGCTCTACTTCGCATCATACAGATTGTAGAAGCGAACTATCCAGAGACAATGGGCAGGGTACTCATCGTGAGAGCCCCAAGAGTCTTTCCTATCTTATGGACAATCGTTAGCACATTTATAGGTGAGAAAAATTATTGATATAATTAATGCACATATTTTCGTTTTTTTTTTTCATTTTTTGTTGATTGTAGTACAATAAATGTATATTTATTTTTATTCATTCATTTCATATCATATTTAAATAAAAAGTTTTGCCTTAAACTCTACTCATTGTTCTTACAACTGACATAATTCCATGATGATGCCCTCAAACGAAATCGGTCAGTTTAAATATTAAATCAATTAAGAATAAGCAAGTACTAAAGGTTTACACCTTGTGGGGGTGACGTTATATCCCCAAAACTCTTCATCGCTGCATTGGAAGACGTTTTCAAGCTACTGGACTAGAAGGATACGGTGTTAACATCAACGGCGAGTACATCACTAACTTCCTAATCCTTATGGCAGAATCGCTGGAGGACCTAAGCACTATGCTCAACGACCTCCATAGTGTCTCCCAACGGATATGTCTTAAGATGAACATGGACAAAACAAAAGTCATGTGTAACGTTCATGTCACACCTATGCCGGTAGTTGTTGGGAGCACTACGCTCGAAGTTGTTGACAAGTATGTTTTTACCTGGGACAAATAGTCTGACTAGGCAAGTCCAACTTCGACCGAGAGGTCAATCGACGGATTTAACTCGTCTGCGTAGCGTTCGGGAGATTACGACACATCTTCTCGTCACGTATACCTCAAAACTTCAAACCAATAGTATACGGTTATACGGAGGGTGGTCAATCTCTGAGAACTCCGTCTCTGTCAGGACTTGTCTCGCAACATGTGCGCATCAGTTTTCCACATCGTTTCTGTACAATGGCCTCGCAAACCTGAGTCAATAAATTGGCATTCATCATAGCTCCCCTGATTAGATAGTCGATAAGCAAAGTTCCCTCGCTATCCCAGAAAACAGTAGCCATTAGCTTGGATGCCGACTTTTCCAGCTTGAATTTCTCCGGCGACCTTTCCCCTTTTTTATGAATTGCACGGACTGTCCTTTGGACTCCGGATCATGTTGGCGAATCCATGTTTCATCTACGGTGACTATCCGTTGCCAAATGTCTTTCTTGTTATCGCCGACTAGCTTCCAAAAATATTTGCAACTTGCGAGTCAACGTTGCTTGTTGAGCGGTGTGATCATTTTCGGTACCCTAATTTTTTTGTTTTTTTTTTTTCATTTTTTGCTCTTATTTTTCTCATATTCAAATGTCCATGTAAAATTTTTCCAACTGAATATCCATGAATAATTAGCTTGTTACTCATGTCACTAGTTGAAACACTCAGTAGTATTATAAAAGCAATCACTAATTAAGTTTGCACTCATAATTAAATTATTTATTGAACAACAAACATCACCATGTCAGCGGAATCTGGAAATTCTCGGAATTTTGAACACCGCGCCGTGATAAAATTCCTCGTAAAGAAGGGAAATACACTGAAACTCTGAAAGATTTTCCGAAGAGATGTCATCGGTTCTTCAGGATTCTGCGATATTTTATATGATGGTGAAAAACTGGGCCCGCACATTTCTACTAGGACGAGAGAGATGTGAAGACGACCCTCGCCCGACCGGGCGGTCTGTACTGACCAAAGAAAACGTCCGAAAAAATCGTTCTGGACGACCAAAGAATTAAATTGTCGCAGATTGCTGAAGAACTGCAGATTAGCAAAGAATGCTAATCTGCAGTTCTTCAGCAATCTGCGACAATTTAATTCTTTGGTCGTCCAGAACGATTTTTTCGGACGTTTTCTTTGGTCAGTACAGACCGCCCGGTCGGGCGAGGGTCGTCTTCACATCTCTCTCGTCCTAGTAGAAATGTGCGGGCCCAGTTTTTCACCATCATATAAAATATCGCAGAATCCTGAAGAACCGATGACATCTCTTCGGAAAATCTTTCAGAGTTTCAGTGTATTTCCCTTCTTTACGAGGAATTTTATCACGGCGCGGTGTTCAAAATTCCGAGAATTTCCAGATTCCGCTGACATGGTGATGTTTGTTGTTCAATAAATAATTTAATTATGAGTGCAAACTTAATTAGTGATTGCTTTTATAATACTACTGAGTGTTTCAACTAGTGACATGAGTAACAAGCTAATTATTCATCGTTAAGTACCCTAGGCCGCGAACTTTTCAGCCGCCCTGGTATAACGATTTTTTCATTCGTTTACTAGTTACAAAACTTACGAAAAAAGGGGCACAAGTGAAGAAAATTTGACAGAATTTTGTAATACTTTACGAAAATACTAGCTTTGCTTTTAGTAAAGTAAAGTATTTACTAAAATGTAATTTTAAGAAACAATTTAAACCATAAAAACCCAATTAACTTATCATCAAACTGGAACAAAGCATATTAATGTCATAAAAAATGAGGCTGGGCATGATAAAAGTGTTTCTGATATTATATTAAACCCGCTTTTCGTCACTCGCTACAAAATTTCCCAGACATTTCTCTATGTTGGCTCCTTAGTCGCCGCAACATTTAAATTGTTCTAACAAACATTTGATTATGTGTTAATATAAATCCTTATATTTTCAGATGAAAATACCCGCAGCAAGTTTTTATTTTACGGTGGCAAGGACTACCTGCAACCAGGTGGCCTCCTAGACTATATTCCCAAGGACCTTATCCCGGACTTCCTTGGTGGGCCCTGCAAGGTAATATATTAGGACCACTACTCTTCATATTTTACGAAATTTGCAATTTAATATTATAAACTTAAATTTTTATTGCGATTTATGATTCCTACTTACATTATGGTTAAAATTATGTAGGGTGAAACTTGCCAAAAATTTATTGTTTTGGTGCAAACAATATGTTAAGTTTTGTTATATATTGTTAATATCAAAACAATACATTTTATATTAGATATACTAATCAAAAATATGGAGTACTACAGTAAACGTTTTAATTAAAATTGATACTAATTAAATATGAATATGTTTTCAAGAAAACGTAGTGCAAATCTTTAACTGGAGAACTAAGACAAGCCCACTACGAAAATACAACATAATTAAAATAAAATTGCTGATAACATTTGTTCAAAAAAATAACCGAGTTCAATATTTCTAGTAATTCATCTTCATCTTAGGGCGATGTACAACGGTTTTATAACAAAATCCCAGATAATATACAAAATCAAATTATTATAATATTAAGGAATGTACGTATGATAATAACCCCTGGAAATGAGTTGATCGCGACCAAGCTATTTCTAATTTGTTTTCTGTTGATAATTATTGTCTAACTTTAATAAACCGTCCTTTTTATTTAGGTATTTTCCGAACCAGTGGTAAATAAAATAATGACTTTCAATAAGTATTATGTAATAATCCACATTGAATAAAAATCATTCTAGTCTATTCTATTCTATTCTATTAAAAAAAGTCTTGCTGGGTTTGTTACTGGTGGTTCATCCCAGGGCAGATGTATTTTTATTGGTAAATTTAACATAAGAGTGACTTTCAATAAATATTAATTATAATCTATATTGAATAAAGATGTTTCTATTTCTATCTCGACTGCCGCAGACGGATATTGTAGACGTGTCGTGGAACGTGCCGCACCGATATTACGACTATGTATGCAGCGTGAGATTCCCGCAAATTACAGCTCTATTCAGTACTTGTCTGTTACGTGTATACAGTGCAATTGTTTCGGTTGTCCTCATAGAAATGTTCGATTCATTCAAATTTATGTTCGTTGTTTTAATAGTTTTGGCGCCTTTTTATAGTATGACATATTTTGTTATGAACCATGTCATATTTTGTATTCAAGACGTTTCGGTTTTCTTGATGTCAATGACAAAGTATAAAACAAAATAAATATTGTCAGGTATGTTGTTCATCATTTTCAAACAAAATATTATTTGAAACTCAATATAAATTAAATTTAAAAATAAAGAAGCTTATAGACTCATGGCCGCAACGGTTTGTGCCGCCGTGAGCCGCGGGCTTAAATCCCGCACGGACTAAGTATTTGTATGCCTACAAATAATTGATCCGAGTGTGGATTTTTGGTCTATTTTTCTCTTGTATCGTGTACAAGAGAAAATTCTAGCGCGGGGGGTAACTTTTTTTTAAGAATTAATTTAGTTCAAGTATTAGAAAAAAATACTTATTCGATAAATCAAAACTAAATTATAGACATTAAATTAAAAAAAAAACATTATAGTAACTGTTTCTTTTAAAAATTGTTATAATTAAGATTTGTAAATAAATGAGTCGAACATTTCGTTACTAAATATTAGGAACTTTCTAGAATCACAATAAATGAACTCGTCAAGCTTATAATGTTCACTAAACACACAATTATGTGCTATGGATAACGTACAACACGTATTAGAAGTTTCAATAAAATCGCCGTTCACAATTACACAATAGTCGTCCTATATGTCCGAACACGTACGCACTAAGCCCGATGTATTTAAGTATATTAATTTAAAGATTTGTTAATGTTATTTTTTATAGTCTAAGGTGACAAACGAGCAAACAGTCCACCTGATGGTATGTAAATGCTGTGGCGTAGCCCATAGACATTTATCCTCGACTAAGAATTAAAATGCAGATGCGTTGTCACCCCTGAGGACTAAGATGGAATGCCTCGTTTCCAGTAAAAAGGGTCTCCGGTTCTCTACACTCGCCATATAAAACACAGCAGCATTGAGCTAATATTTAACGCTGGTATTCTTGGTGAAAGCGTGGTCATACCCCGGTCAAGCCGACCCATTCGTGTTGCAACCATAATATAGCTCTACCATTTTAAATGTCGCCTTAATAGCCGCTTTTTGCCTGGGACTCCATCTGGGTTGGTAGCAACGTCAACGCGGCAGATCGCTAAAAGGACTTGGAAAAGTAATTTAAAATGAAAGGATCGATAATATATAGACTGTAGTACTTTTATTAACATATTCACAAGTCCACTGCTGAACACCCCCCCCCCCCACCCCCCAAGGAATGCCACAGAGCACGGTCCTGAGCCACCTGCATCCATCGACTTCCTGCATGTCTTACCAGGTCGTCACTCCATCTAGTGGGCCATCGCCCTACACTTACATGTGTCTGACGGTAGGAGGCTGCCATTCTAGAAACCTTTTTTTATCGGTTCTCGGTTCTTCGAATTATATAGCCGGCCCATTGCCACTTCAGCTTACCAATCCGTAGGGCTGTGTCGGTTACTCGGGTTCTACTGCGGATTTCTTCATTTATAAGTCCATCACACAGTCTAGTCTCAGTCTATTGTTTTTAAATCTATGACCTAATTAACATATTGTCCTTGGTAATATAAAATTAGTTATTATAATATTTTTAATAAATGTAAACACTAAAAGCACTTACAATTATGCATTTGCACATGAAAACTATACGGTTTGTATTGTGGCTGTAGAGGCTACATTTTATATTTATAGATACTAAATGTGACATCAGTAGCATTTTGTTTTTTTTTCTCCAGAGTTTCGTGCATGAAGGTGGACTGGTGCCGAAGAGTCTCTATGTTAGTGGAGCGTTCACAGAGCGCGATGGCGACCCACTCAGCGAGGACAGCATTTATCGTTCTGTCAGTTTGGCTAAAGGACAGGTACGTTTGCAAAGTCAATCTAAGCGTCTTAGATTTTATATTTCTCTAAGTCTAATTTGATCTACCTTTTGTATTAATTACCGTGTAGTGGCGGTGTAAGTTCTTTAAAAGAATATCCACTACCCCATAACGTATCGTGGGTGTCGTAAGAGGCGACAGAGGAAAACTGAAACTGGGAGATGGGCAGCAGCATCTTCAGCAACTTAACAGTTAAAAAAAACTGCGGTTGGCAAACTGCTCGCCCGGTGTGTCAACTATGGCAAAATCCCCCCTAGATTACTTCGTATCTATGGGGGAGGCCTGTGTTCAGCAGTAGACTTGTATAGGCTGTAAGGGATGGATGGAGAGTGTTACTAATGTAGTTAGTATGGTACGCGTGTGTTTTAGTGGTATGTGCGCAGTTACTATGGTCGTTTACACTCCGTCAGGTACAGTGTCATTTCGTCACCGGCTCAATGAAAATAAAATAAAGCGACCTACGTCTATAAAAATAGTGATGTAAGTATATTCTGTAAATACTAGGAACAAGCACAAGATAGTTATACCAATTACTCGACTTTACAGAGTCGGTATTTCCTTCATGGGCAATGTATATTGTGTGTATATGTGTATACAAACACACACACACACACACACACACACACACACACACACACACACACACACACACACACACACACATATATATATATATATATATATATATATATATATATATATATTATTTAACAAAAATTGTTTAGTAAGGGTTATGCTATTAAAGAGTGCCTCCATGATTGATAATAACCTCTGGAAATAAAGTGATCGCTACCTACTATATATATTACCTACTACCTATATATGCTATACTTTTATAAATTGGTGCGCGACCATCTGACCAACGAGTCAGTTTATAATAAATAATATCTGGTATCGAACTATGTTCCGGTGAACAACCAATATGTGGTGGTGGTGGTGTGGTGTTCAGGTGCACGAGGTGGTGGTGAGCAACCGCGACCCGCAGAGCGTGCTGACGTGGGACTTCGACGTGCTGCGCCACGACATCGCCTTCACCGTGCTGCACACGCACCTCGACCTGCCGCCACCGGACGAATCAGCCACAGGTAAGGAATACACCCAGGGTAATTGCGCCCCATTCTTGGTCATTAGAGGAGACAGTGCATAGCTGCAGCCTTAACCAAGTTATTGAAATGAAAACTTCTTACAACAATGAACGAAAGTGAACAGTCACGCTCGGCTCAGTGACACCGAATCGTGTATACTCGACTCCAGACGTCATCAGTCACGTTTACTGTCAACAAGGAGTGCATCGTTCCAATAATTACTTTTTTATTATTACGGAAACTAATATAACTTAGTATGGAAATAAAAATAAATAATTTTAATATATATTGATATTACCTTGTTTCTGAGTCACCGAACTAATCTATTACATAACATATATGTAATTATTATTAGAATAAAACAAAAACAATTAAGAAATAGGAGAAAAAATACTACTTACCAAAGAGAATATAATCACTATGTTTACTACTTACTTTCACTTTTATCGTGTGCTCATAAACACACACCCATTTGTATGATTTATTTATATGATTTTCTTTCTTTGTTACATTAAGGCGAGGTTTTCCGACTTTAAAAGGCTTTTAGCGCTCCCTCTTCTGCTGCATGTATATTTGTTCAGTGCGAAGTAAGCGTGCGACATTCCATGGAAAAAAAAATTATTTGAAATGATTTTGCTTATTATTAGAAATAAATAAAAATCTAGCCGAGGTCGGAAACAGACTTTCCTAATAAGAACAGTTGCGCCGTGCAAAGATTATCGCCAGAGAATTTAAAAATGTTACCAACAATAATTACTACTTAACTTTGAGTGTATGACAGGCACAAAAAAGTTTATTATATATTTTATATATGCGACAACTATGTTTAAATGTGCAATTGAAAGTGAAATACTGATATAGTTTTTGCAATTTACGCAGTCGGGCGGGCTTTATTTGTGGTAAACACGTATTTGTATAAGTGTATATTGTTAACGACGGTACACACACTATCGCAATGTGTATGTACACGTTCAATCACCAGTAAAAGCTGAACGCACATTTGTCCGCACCGTAAGCATCGTACGCGCCGAGCGCGCCGAGTTTTACTGATGGCCTCGCACATTTGCCCGTACGCATCATCCGCGCCGCACGCATACCTTTTGTATTATCAACAACTTTTGTAATTTTTTTCAACCACTGGTGTGAAACGGTACAGTGAAATTGATTGCTCGAAATCACTAGAAAAAGAAATATAGTAATAGCCTGCTTATTGGCAGAGTAAGAAGAAAATAAAATTCGAAGAAAAAGAAGAATCTGGATTCATAGTATTAATTTAAAAAGGCAATTGTATCGAGAATATGAAGGGGATAATATACTTTATTTAAAGACTCGCTGGAGGACCTAAGCACTATGCTCAATGACCTCAATAGTGTTTCCCAACGGATAGGTCTTAAGATGAACATGGACAAAACAAAGATCATGTTTAATGTCCATGTCACACCTATGCCGGTAGTTGTTGGGAGCACTAAGCTCGAAGTTGTTGACGAGTATGTTTACCTGGGACAAATAGTCCGACTAGGTAAGTCCAACTTCGACCGAGAGGTCAATCGACGGATTCAACTCGGCTGGGCAGCGTTCGGGAAGCTACGACACATCTTCTCGTCAGACATACCTCAAAACCTTAAAACGAAATTGTACAACCAGTGCGTGTTGCCAGTGATGACTTACGGAACTGAGACGTGGTCCTTCACTGCTGGCCGGATGAGGAAGCTCAAGGTCGCTCAGCGAGCTATGGAGAGGGCTATGCTCGGAGTTTCTCTGCGTGATAAACTTAGGAATGAGGATATCCGCAGTAGAACCAGAGTAACCGACATAGCCCAACGGATTAGTAAGCTGAAGTGGCAGTGGGCCGGCCATATAGCTCGAAGAACCGACAACCGATGGGGAATAAAGGTTCTCGAGTGGCAGCCTCGTACCGGTAGGCGAAGTGTAGGGCGTCCCCCCACGAGATGGAATGACGACCTGGTAAGACATGCAGGAAGTCGATGGATGCAGGTGGCTCAGGACCGTGCTTTGTGGCATTCTTTGGGGGAGGCCTATGTTCAGCAGTGGACTTGTGAAGGGCTGTAATGATGATGATGATGAAAGACTTATTAGAAGATTATGAACGATTTTTTTTTGATATTTGCATTTAAAATACAAGAAATTTCAAGAATTGGTACATATACTAAAACCATATCTTTCTACGAAAAACTCAAGATTTAGAAGGCCAATTGAACCAGAGAAAAAACTTGTTGTATGTTTGAGGTAAGTATTTTTATTGATAATTAAGTAATCAGGTATAATTGGGTTTTTTAATTAAATTTAACTATTTTTTTGTTAGTTCAGTATTTAAATAATTTATCGCTAAGTATACATATTGTTGTTGTAAGTATGAGTATTGATATCACCCCAAACCGGCTGGTCACCGTGGGGTAAGAGACCAAAACCCCCTAGGATCACCTCCCAAAAAGAAAAATATACAAGTACAAGAGCCAGAAACAGGATTTACAAAAAACAAAAGAAACAGCATTTACATATCAACACTTAACACTCGTACCTTAAGAACAGATGAATCCCTACAGGAACTTGAATATGCCTTAGATTTTATAAACTGGGACATCGTCGGCCTAAGTGAAGTGAGGAGAATGGGCGAAAAAATTGAACAACATGACAACTACATTTTCTATCATATAGGAAAAATTCCAGGCCTACTTGGTGTCGGATTTCTTATCAAAAAATGCTACAGAGAATGCGTACAGTCCTTCACCGGAATCTCCGAACGAATTGCACAACTAAATATCAACTTGCCGGGATATGAAACTATATCAATTATCCAAATATATGCACCTACAGAAGTGACACCAAAAGACATAAAGGACTCATTCTATGAGGACCTGGAGAAAACGCTTGAAAGTGCCCACAAAACAGTCGTTTTAATGGGGGATTTTAACGGGCAAATCGGTGAAAGACTACCAAATGAGGATGGTATAGTAGGTCAGTTTAGCACAGGAAAAAGAAACAACAACGGGCAAAGACTCGTGAACCTGGCACATGCACATAACCTCAAAATCCTAAATACCTTCTTTAAGAAAAAGACAAACAAAAAGTGGACCTGGATATCTCCCGACGGGAAATTGAAGAATGAGGTAGATTTTATACTCTCCAACAAACCCCAAATTTTCAAAGATATAGGTACAATTAATAAATTCAACTTTAACACTGACCACAGAATGGTAAGGGGAACAATCTATCTAAAAAAGCCCAAGAGAAGAAGACAGTGCAGCAAGAAAATAATCCAACCAAATCAAATCCCTCTCTCCATCCCAGAAAACTTGTTGACAACGCTGAAGGATAAAACATTGACTTGCAACAAGATCAAAAACATACAAGAAAAATATAATCTGATGGAAAAAACAATACAAGAAATATCTACAAAACTGTACACCTCAAAGAACAAGAAAGATAAAATCGGAAAGGAAGCAAGACGTCTTATAGAAGCAAGAAAAACTCTTTTAGAAAACAAAAAACAAAATAGAAATCAAATAATGCAATTAAGTAAACAGATAAATGAAAAAATCAGGACACACAGGAAACAAATAAGAAACAGGATTATTCAATACCACATTGAAAAATCAGGAGGAATAAAGAGAGCCCTAAAAGAATTAAAAGAGAACACTTCATGGATCCCATGTATAAAAAATAAGACATCTGGGAAAATAGAAACAAAACGGCCCGACATTATAGAAATAGCGACAGAATTCTATAGCAAACTATATGATGACATGGACTACACAAACACGCCTTACCTTCAGAAAGACAATGAAGAGGCTATCCTTCCAATACTAGAAACCGAAGTAAGAAAAGCCATACTAGCCCAAGGAAACTATAAGGCTCCCGGAGACGATGGAATAACAAACGAAATTCTGAAAGGTTGCCTAGACCACGTTATAGAGGCCATCACAAATCTGTTCAACAATATTCTAACTGAAGAAATAATACCACAACAATGGACATCATCAACTATCATATTGCTCCATAAGAAAGGCGACAAAGCAGAAATAAATAATTACAGACCGATCAGCCTCATCTCCAATCTGTACAAGGTATTTGCAAAGGTAATACTAAACAGAATCAGCTCAGTATTAGATGAAAATCAGCCAAGGGAACAAGCGGGATTCCGGAGTGATTTTTCAACAATGGATCATATTCATGTCGTAAAACAAGTTATTCAAAAAAGCAACGAGTATGGAAAAAAATACTATATGGCATTTGTGGACTACAATAAGGCGTTCGACTCTTTGAGGCACACATACATCTGGGAAGCTCTGCGATCACAAGGTGTACACCCAAAGTATATTAGGATAATAAAAAACTATACAAAGATTCAACATCAAAGATTCAGACAGAAATGAAAGGTCCAGCGTTTAAAATAAAAAAAGGAGTACGACAAGGAGACCCCCTTTCACCAAAATTATTTTCGGCGGTATTGGAGCATATATTCAGGAGAATTAATTGGGACAAAATTGGAATAAATATAAATGGCGAAAAGCTTAACCACCTAAGATTCGCAGACGACCTGATTCTGCTCAATGAAAATTATGAAGGCTTAGGAATAATGTTAACCCAATTAGAAAGTGAAAGTAAAATTGTAGGGTTGACTATGAATCTAGATAAAACAAAAGTAATGACAAATCATATAAAAACACCTATCTTTCTAAATTCTAATCAAATAGAGTATGTCGACGAATATACATATTTAGGACAAATTATTGCACCAAAGAATCAGATGCAGAAGGAAATAAATGTCAGGATAAGTAAAGCTTGGAAAAGATTCTGGTCCCTCAAAGAAATTATGAAGAACCCACATATACCCCTAAAAGACAAAACTGCAGTGTTCAACTCATGCATACTACCATGTTTAACCTATGGAGCACAAACCTGGGCTCTCACTAAGAAGCATAGTAGAGCACTAACAGTGTGTCAAAACAGAATGGAAAGAAGCATTCTAAACATCAAGC